AAAAAAAAAAAAAAAAAAAAAAAAAAAAATTGGTATTAAATGCTTATAAAAGAAAATAGTATTAAAATTAAATATAGAAAAAAAAAAAAAAAAACAAAATAAATGGTAAAAAAAAGAAATGAAAACATACAAAAATGATTAAATCTTTTATAAACAATGGAATAAAAATATATTCTTTAACATCTGGTAAGTTAAGTCCAGAATATACAAATGTAGATGGAAAGAAAAGTAAAAATAAAAATTTGCGTTCAGATTATAACGAAAATTCAGTTGAAATTTTACATGATTTAGAGTTTTCACAGAAAAGTGATGAAATAAAAATAAGTGATGATGAAAGGTATATATGTATAAGTGGATGTTATCCTCCTCAAGTAGGATTATATGATACAAAAGAATTATCAATAAAACATAGAAGACATTTTGATGAAGAAGTAGTAAATTTTGAGTTTTTAAGTAATAATTATGAAAAATTGGTTTTTTTATGTAAAAATAGATATTTAGAATTTCATAATGCAGCAGGAAAGTATTATAAAATGCGTATACCTAGAGAAGGAAGAAATTTAATGTATAATAAAGAAAACTCAAATTTATATATATGTGCATCTTATGAGGATATATATATTTTAAATTTACAAAAAGGTTGTTATCAAAATTCTATAACTACAAAAAATGAAAGCAATAATTTTATATGTAAAAATCTACATTTGCCTATATTTGCCACAGGGGGATCAAACGGTTTTTTAGAAATATGGGATGAAAGAATAAAAAAAAGTTTAAATTTTTTAAATATAAATGAATATGATGAATTAACCAGTGGATCTTTTTCTGATAATGGATTAAAAATAGGTGTTGGAACTAGTAATGGGATAATAAAATTGTTTGATATTAGGCATAATAAGCCTTTACTTATTAAAGATCATTGTAATGATTTACCTATTAAAAAATTAGAATTTCTTAAAATAAATAATAACAAATATTTTTATAATAATGATGATGATAAAAATTTTTCTACATATAACGAATGTATTGCCTCTTCAGATAGTAATTGCATTAAAATTTACTCAGAAAATAAAAGTCTTTTATCCTTACAAATAATTAAATTTGATGATGAAAAAAGCAATAAAAAAAACAAGTTATTAAATAATGACTCTATAAATATTAATTCTTTTACTTTTTATAAAAACTCAGGGTTATGTTTTATACCTTGTGATAACAAAAAAGTTTTTATATATTTCATTCCTTTTATTGGATTAGCTCCAAAGTGGTGCAATTTTCTTGATAATATGACAGAAGAATTAGAAGAAAAAGAAAGATATAGAAGAAATGATACTGATGATTACTCGAATGAATTATTTGATGATTACGTATTTTTAACTAGCCAACAAGTGGACCAATTAAATATAAACCATTTGAAGGGAACAAAAAATTTAATTTCTTATTTACATGGTTATTATATTCCTACAAAAATTTATGCGGACATTAAAAGTGTTATAGATCAAAATAATTTTGAACAAATTAAAAAAACAATCATACAAAAAAAATTAGAAAGTAAACAACAAATGCGTATACCTCAGAAAAATGCATTAGTGAATAAAGAATATGTACATAATTTATTAAATAAAGTTCAGAAGAAAATAGATAAAAAACAAAAAGTTATGTATGATGCAGAACAATTATTACAAGATAAAAGATTTAATAAATTATTTTATGATCCAGAATATATGATTGAAACTGTACATTTAAATAAATAAGAAAATATATGGCATACCTTGTCCCCAAAAATATATTAATATTAAATTTGTAAGAAATTTAATTTTTTTTTTTTTTATTTAAATTTTTTAAGCTATAATTTCTTAAATGTAGATATATTTACAATTTAAAAATAATTTTTTTTCTTTGTTTACCTTTTTATTTAAATATATTTTTAAAAATGTATTTTTCTTATTTAAAATTTTTACATTTTTATTGTATTTTTGTCTATTCTCTTATTATGATCACATAATTAAAATATGAAAATTTTGTTTATGTTATATAATTTTTAAAACTGAGAAAAAAAGTTTATATATATATATATATATTTATTAAATTAAGTAATTTACATGTATAAGTAATACAATTAGTAATTAAATAAATATATTCTTATAAATGAGACAGAAATAATATATTAATTATTAAGGCTTAATTTTTTTTTTTTTTTTTTTTTTTAAATTTATTTATTACTCTTTTTATTTTTTTTTTTTAAATGTTATGTGAAATGTAAATATAAAGCATATAGAACAAACAAATAATAAATTAAAAAAAAAATAATGGTTTTAATTATAAATTAAAAAAATAAAAAGTCTCGATTAAAAAACTTCGGTTAATACTTCACATATTTATTAAGATTTAAGAACATTTTATATTATTTAAAACAGAAAGAAAAAAAGAAAAATCGTGTGTTAATATAAAAAAAAAAAAAAAAAAGGAAATTTTTTCTTTTTTTTTTTCATTGCTTTAATACACTAGATAGTGTGTGTGTAAATGTAAAATAGTTCTTTCTTTCCTTCTTTCTTCTTTTCTTGATTTTAAATATATAGCTTATATTTTCATTATAAAAACAAACAAATCATAGAAATGCACTATAGAATTTGAAATTGGATTAAATATTATACATTTATTTAGTAAAATTTTTATTTTAATAAAATGATTGCTACTACTATTATTTATAGGAATATTTTTTTATAATTCTGTGTTCTAAATATCATTGTTTCATAATTTTTCCTTTTTTTCTTTTCTTATTTCTTTTTTTTTTTTTTTTTTTTTTTGTTTTTTTTATTTNTTTTTTTTTTTTTTTTTTTTTTTTTTTTTTTTTTTTTTTTTTTTTTTTTTTTTCTTTTGATTTTATCATTTTTTTTTTTTTTTTTAAATATTTTTCAATAACATGAAAAATTTCTATTTATAATTATTTTTATTTATCACAATTTTTAAAAAATTTCTTTTCATCTACAACTTATCTTTTTATAATTAATTCTGTAGTAACCGTTGTTAGAATGACAACATAATAAAAATTCTAGAAATTACACATTTAACAACATATTTAATATTAGACTTTTTTTTTATTTTTAATTTTTTTATTCTTTTTTTTTTTTTTTTTTTTTTTAAGAAAAATTATTTGTTTAAAGAAAAGAAATATTAATGATAAAATTGATGAGATTACATATTAATGATTCTAATTCTTCTACTATTTATAGCTATATAAAAAATATATATATATATATATATATATAATTATTTTAACGAATCTTTAATCTTTACATATTTTATAAATGTGCATGGTTGTATTTTTATACATTATTTTCCTATTTTCTACTTCATCTATAACTTTTTTTTTTATTTATTATTTATTAGAATATTTTCTTTCTTATCATTTTTTTCTCCAAATCCTTTATTATTCATTCCGATTTATTTTCTTTTTTTTTATTTTACTACTTTTAGTTTAATTTTTTTTTATTATAACAACGGTTTATTTTTTTTTTAAAATAACATTATTTCTTTTTTCTATAAATTGATATATTTCTTCTATTATTTTACACTTTCATTTTTTAATTCACTTTTTTTTTTTTTTTTTTTTCAATATATATCTATTATTTTTAACACTAAATTTTTCTCCTTTCTTAAGAAAATTTTTAAACTTTACAACACCATAAAATGAAAATTATTTTACCATTTTAATAAATTAGAAAAAATATTTTGGATTCATTTTTTGAATATCCTTTATTTTAATGAATTAAATCTATATTTTTTGTAACAAAATATATAAAATATAATTTTTAATACACATATATATTTATATATATTAAAGGAAATATTTCTTTTTTAAAATATTTAATTAAAAAATAAAAACATAAGTGTATACACATATATATAAATAAAATTTAAAAAGAAATATATTTTGTAGATATATAATAGAAGTAAATTTTTAATACACATTAAAGTAAAATAAAAAATTTCTAAAATTTGAATGCATATATATTATAGAAAAATATAGAAAAAAAACAGATAATACAATAAGATATAATAGTAAATATTAAATGTATTTAATAATTTAAATAAATAAGTATGAAAAAAGAAATTATAATTTATTATTAAGAAGATTTACATTTTCATATGGTATTATATATATAAGAAAATGTTAAATTCATAATAAATCAAAAATATAGAAGTTCATTATTATTATCTATTAAAATTGGTATACGTGGCTTTTTAAGATGTCATTAATTTTATACAGTAAAACATTTGCAACAATTACTTTAGTTAAGATTGTAAATATTTATAGGAAATTTTAATTATATTTATTATAAAAATAATAATAGTTATAATTAAAATTTAATAATAATAAATTGGATATTAATAATTAAGTGTAATTATAATGCACCCTTGATATTATCTTTTTGAGTTTTTAAGATAATCTGAAATTTTAAAATTATATATATTTGATTATCTAAGGTAATTAGTATAATGCAAAAAAAAAAAAAAAAAAAAAAATAAAATAAAGAATAAAAAAAGAATAAGATAGATAGAGGAAAATAAAAATTTAGCATAAATTAATTACAATAAAGTAATTGTAAGTTTTTCAGAAAAAAAAAAAAAAAAATGGACAGTAAAAATATTATTCAAAATAATAAATTCGAAATTAATTCTGGAATAATTTTAAAAGAATTTTATAAAAGAAATATGAATGAAAAATTAATTCAGAAAAAACCTATATATATGGATATATTACAAGGTAATTCATATTATAATGAGGTGAATAATAAAGAATGTAACTTAAATTATATATTGAAGGAACATAATACAATAAAAATACATGAAGAGATTAAAAAAAATAAGAAACAAAATGAAATATATTATAGTAATAGAATTTCTTATATATATAAAGATATAAAATATATAGGAAGTAAAATTCATAATAAAAATACAAGTTTATTACAGCCGAAATTTGTTGGAAATCATTCATATTACGTTTCCACTTATAATGTAACAAAAAAGTTATATTCAAATATAGAAGAATATAATAAATGTGATAATTTTTCAAATTTATATATTCATAATAATGATAATGTGAATAAGGAAATTATAAAAAAAGGGGAAAAACTTGAAAATAAGCATAACAAAATATTATATTATAGAAACAGTAAAACACATAACAATAAAAGAAATTTTTTATTAAAACATGAAATTTTTTACACTGATAAAGAATTATTTAATACAGATGAGACGAGTTTTAAAAAGTTAGTAAATGATAAAAGTACAATGAAATATTCAGAATATAAAAATAATTTAATTTTAGGAAAAAATGAAATGCAAAAGGGTTCTTATTTTTCTGGAAACTTTAATAATTCTAATAGAATGAAAAAAGATATTTTTATTATAAAAAATAAAAACTCTCATGAAACTTTAAAAAGTGATCAAAAATATGCTTCTTATAATTTTAAATCCAATAATTATTGGGAACAGAAGAAGAAAATATTGCCTAATATTTTTACAAATGATTACCATTATGAAAATCTAGATAACTGCTTAGCTGAAAATACACTACTTAATAAAATTAATAATTTCTCTCTTTATAAAAGTAAAAAAAATTATTATTTAAATAGTATTGATTTTCCAAAGGTTAATGAAAATAACTCATATAATTTTAATGATCAAAATAAAACAAAAAATAATTTATATAATTATGAAAATAATTCAATTCAATTATATACTAATAAAAATAATAACTCTATGATAACATGTGATCAGAAGTGTCAAGTAGAAAATACAGAAGAAAAAAAAAGTGGATTTACAAGATATAGTCTGTATAAAGAATCTTATTACTTAAATAATGAACTAAATAATAAAAATAACAGAATAAGTAAAGAAAATGTAGAAAAAGAAATTACATATTTGAATAATGATTCAACGAAAAAATGTAAATTAAAGAAACAGCAGTTTGATTTAGAATATAATAATTCTTTTGTTATAAAAAGTAAAAATTTTCAAAATGAAAATCAAGTAGGAAATATAGATAAAGGTAGAGATGAAAATGAAATTAAAAATATAGATAAAGGTGGAAATGAAATTAACAATATAGATAAAGGTGGAAATGAAATTAAAAATGTAGATAAAGATAAAAATGAAAATAAATGTATAAATAGAAATAAAGGTATTAATGAAAATGAAATTAAAAATAGAAATAAAGGTATTAATGGAAATGAAATTAAAAATATAGATTTAGATAAAGATGAAAATGAAAATAAATATATAAATAGAGATGAAAGTATTAATAAAAGTGAAATTAAAAATATAGATAAAGATGAAAATGAAAATGAATGTATAAATGAAAATAAAGGTATTAATGAAAATGAAATTAAAAATAGAAATAAAGGTATTAATGAAAATGAAATTAAAAATATAGATAAAGGCAGAGATGAAAATGAAAATGAATGTATAAATAGAAATAAAGGAATTAATGAAATTAAAAATATAGATAAAGATGAAAATGAATGTATAAATAGAAATAAAGTAATTAATGAAATAAAAAATATAGATAAAGATGAAAATGAAAATGAATGTATAAATGAAAATAAAGGAATTAATGAAATTAAAACTATAGATAAAGATGAAAATGAAAATGAATGTATAAATGAAAATAAAGGAATTAATGAAATTAAAACTATAGATAAAGATGAAAATGAAAATAAATGTATAAATATAGATAAAGGTATTAATGAAAATGAAGTTAAAAATGAAGGAAAATATCAACATGAATATTTTCAAAATGATATATGTAAAAAAGAAAATGAAAAATTAAAGGATCAATTAAAATATAAGGGAGTAAGTATATTTTTTAATGGTGATAGAAGGTTTTTTCTTTTTGATATTCCACCTAATGAAATAATAGAAAGAAAGAATATTCAAATAATTGAATTAATAAGTGAAGGAAGTTTTGGTATTGTTTATAAGGCAATATGGAATAATAAAATTGTTGCTGTTAAAAAAGCTCATGAAAATATGTCTTTAGAAGGCATGAGATCAATTGTTAGAGAAATGAATACATATAGATCAGTTTCGCATGATTACATAATAGAATATTATGGTAATAAATATTTGCACATTTAAAAATATATATATATATATATATTACATACAACCTGTATATGCAAATACTAAAGAAAAAATATTATTATTATTATATATTAGAAAAAGAAAGTATTATATATGTACAATATTTTAATGAAAATTTTTTTTATTATATATATAATTTAAAAAAAAAAAAAAAAAAAAAAAAAAATAGTGTGATTTTTTTTATAAATAGAGAATATTTTTAATAATATTATAGAGGTTCTCATAAATAGTGAATTGTTCTTTTTCAATTTTTCTTAATTTCTTTTATGATGTTAAATTATTTTTATAATAATATTTTTTTCACAGGAGTTTGCATAGAAGAGTCTTTCATAGGTATAGTTATAGAATATTTAAATAAAGGAAATGTGTTCGATATATTATACAATAACACAGTGGATTTATCTTATGAAATACGTTTAAATATGGCAACTCAATTAGTGTGTGTAATTAACTATCTTCATGAAAATGAAAAGATTGTTCATCGAGATTTAAAAACTAGCAACTTACTATTGGATGAAAACGTAAGTAGATTGCCTAATAAGTCTTGTTTTAAAAATTATATATATATATATATATATATATTTTCTTATATAGTATAATTTAAAATTATGTGATTTCGGAAAAACAAGAAAATTAGACAAAGATGGAAAAATAGTTTTAGAAGATAATGGAGGATCTCCTAGATATATGGCTCCCGAATGTTTTATCGATAGTAATAAAAATATATTTATATATTTTATAAATATATATTTGTTTAATGTGCTAAAATATTTTTATGTTTGTAATTTCATTTTTCTATTTTTCATATGTATAATTTTAATTTTTTTCTAAAACTATTTCTACTGTTTCATTTATTATTTTCATTTATATAAATTCCATAATTATTTAAGTATTTTAATTTAATAATTCCCATTATTTTTTACTTAAAAAAATAAGTGAAGATTTTTTTAATTACTTATTTTTTTTATTTTATTATTTATTTTCCTTTTTTTTATATATTTCTACAAAAATATTTTAAATACTTAAATTATTCTTTTTTTATTTTAATTTTAAACATATTTTCTATTTTTGTTATTTTCAGAAAACATAATAACTGAAAAAGCTGATATATGGGGACTTGCTTGTTGCTTGATTGAAATATTTGGAGGATTAATTCCATTTCAACATATAAAACAAAAAGAAGGTAAAAAAAAAAAAAAAAAAAAAAAAAAAA